GATTAAACTCAAGGGCACTCAACCACTGAGCCACATCCTCAGCCCTATTTTGTATTTTATTTAGAGACAGGGTCTCACTGAATTACTTAGTGCCTCACTTTTGCTGAGGCTGGCTTTGAACTCACAATCTCCTATCTCAGCCTCCGGAGGTGCTGGGATTACAGTCACATGCCACTGCTCCTGACACTACACTATTTTGATGACTGTAACTTTGCAATAATTTTTGAAATAAGGTAATGTTAGCCTTGTGACTTTATTCTTTTTTGAAGAAGTTTCTGGCTAGTCTAAGATTCTTTCTTGCATTATCATATAAATTTTAGAATGAGTTTGATAATTTCTACCAAATAAAAAAGGCTGTTGAAATTTTAATTTTGTAGGTTTTATTAATCTACAGATCAATTATCAATTTAGGTGTAATTGCCATTTTAACAATGTTAAGTCATCTGATCCATGAATATAATCTCTCTCTTCCTTTGTTGAGAATTTCATTTGTCATTAAAGTTTTTTATTTTGTTTTTCATGTATTTCATTAAATATAGCCCTAAGTATTTTATATTTTGCATGTTACTATGTATGTTTCCTAAATTTCTGATCATTTAATTTAATTTCAACTTATAGAAATACATCTTTTATAATGAACTTATAGCTTCCAAACTTGTAAAAAAATCAATCATTTCAGTTTTAGTAGGATTTGTGTGTGTGTGTGTGTGTGTGTGTGAATTTTATCATTTGGTTATATCACCTATAGATAATAAGATTTTTATATCATCCTTTCTAATCTGAGTATATTTAACAGATTTTTTTCTTGCCTGGTTGCATTGGCCAGCATTTTTAGTACAATTCTGAAATGATGAGAGTGAACACCCTGTATTGTTTTTGATCTTAGGGAGAGAGCATCTATTCATCTACAATTAATCATGTTGTTTGCTGTAGGTTGAGGAAGTTCTATTCTTAGTTTTCTGAGAGTTTTAATCAGAAATGGATGCATATGTATATGTCTCCCTTGCCATATGTGCATTTATTTGTGTTAGTCTTCATTTTTCTTTTAAATTGCTCACATTTTGTTGAGATACATTTACTTAAAGTTATTTTCCCTTTGTTGATTGGAAGCCAGTGTCATTTGCCACAATTGCAAGGTAGTAATAATCGAATAAAACCAGAAAAATACCACTAAATTATAAACACTTTAGTTATGGAGGCTTTGTGTGTGTGCATCAAGAAGCATGATCAACAAGTCAAAAAATATTTAAAGACATGCTTTTGCCAACCTGAACATTTTCCTTTATGTAACCAAGAGGTCTTAAAAAAAAAAAAATAGAAACGGGAATGACTTTTTTTTTATTAGTACATTTACTTTAATGTAACATTAAAAATTCATCTCTCATATGTTGGATGTGAGTTTCATAGTTAGAGAATCATTAAATTTTATGCAGGTGTGGCTCAGGCAAAGACAAAAAAGTATGAAAAAGTTTGGGTGTTATAAACTCCACAGAGATTAGAATTTCTTAGAGTGATATTTCTAAGCCCTGATTGTGTGTAATTACCACCTTGAGAGTTTAAGACTTACACTTCAAGAATCAGAATATCTTGGGTTGGAATATCTTTTAAATGTTCTCTAGGTAGTTCCAATGCTCAGGGAGGATGGTAATCCTCTGATTGGCTGTCTATAAGTGGTTTTGATTTGAAGTAGGCAGGCAAGAGAAATCCTAGATTGATTAGTAAGGTGTAACCTGTATATGAGTACAAAGGAATGGTAAAATATGCCATTTTAGGGCTAAAATATGAATTGCCTGTCAAGGCAGTTGGTTACTTAAATAACTGAAAGAGTGCAGGTTCTCCCTTTCATTGAGAATAAACCCACATGATTTTTCCCCCCCTGGTCTCAATGTAACTGGTTTAAAATAGATCAACGTTTCCTACAATTAAAGACATTAAGTGTGCATTTCAAGAATGAGTTTTATTGTAACATATTTAAAGAATAACCTAAATTACCTTACCCAATACTTAACAAAAGAAATATGAATTATTTCTGAAACAGCTTTAACACAATTGCTTATAAATAGTTCCAGAGAAAGGATTCCTAATGACTTTAAGCATCTACGTTTCCAAACAATACTACACACAATTCAAATTTGCATGTGTAAATAAATAGAACGTTGAAAAGAATATGAATGTGAATTCTTTCCCTTAATTATTTATCCGTAGTTTCTCCCAGTCCTAAGACCCATTTAAAATAACGCACTTTCCAAAGAGTACCAACTTGGCAGCCTTTTAGGCTGTGCTTTCTCACTAACTTTGGTCAGTTTTATCGTCATGAAGACTTCATCTGGGAAACAGAAAGAAAAAGAGCGTTCAAAATCCAGATCTTCAAACCTGCTTAGAGAAGCAAGGAACTGGAGAAAGGCGAATTTCAAGTCTATTTTAATTTAGGAGGGCGCGAAACTATTTATATAAAACTATACTCGCATAAGGAGGCAAGTGAGACAAAGCAGTTTCTTTGGGACAATGTGCATTTGCAGCCCATCAGGATGGTGTCTAGTCCCCTGCTCCCCCTTCCTCCTAGAAGGTCCCCAATCTCCGCCCCCGGCCCTTCCCCGACTTAAGCCTTTGGCCAGCAGACCGGTGGGCGGGGTAACCTCTGCAGCCTAGTATTGCAGCCTCGGGTTCAGGCGACGCGCAGAGCACTGGGGCACTTCCTTAGCCCCCAGGGACTGTAAGAGGCTTTCGGGGCAGCTGCGCTTCTCAGTGTCTCGAGCTCCGGGACGCGGTCATTGCCAACTCCGGAGGGACAGAGTGTAAACTTGTCCTTATGTGGGTGGGGGACAGCCGGACGACAGCGTCTTCCTACCCCAGTATCCCTGCGGGTTCATCTGCGGGCAGCACCGTTCCCAGTTACAACAGCTCGCTAGAAACTTCACCAATGGAGCAGTCACAGCGTGGCAGAGGAGACCACAGCGGTAACGGTGTACTCCACCCTGGCCCGGGACTGCTGGCTGCGACCCCTCATCCCTCACCGCCGGCGTTACCGGTACCCTCGGGGATACCAGTTCCACCAGCTTATCTGCGGCCCTCCGGCCTCTTCCTGAGAGCTGCCGCCGCCACGGCCGGAAGCGGAGGCTGCCGGCCGGTTCCTAGGCTGGAGAGAGGCGTGAGCGCAGTGGGCAGCGGCTACCTGCGGACGCCCAAGTGCTCCCGCTGCCGCAACCACGGTGTAGTGTCGGCGCTCAAGGGCCACAAGCGCTTCTGCCGCTGGCAGGACTGCGCGTGTGTCAAGTGCACCCTGATCTCCGAGCGCCAGCGCGTGATGGCCGCCCAGGTGGCGCTGCGCAGGCAGCAGGCGCAAGAGGAGAGCGAGGCTCGGGGACCGCAGAGTTTCTTGCACCCTGGAGCCTCGGGTCCGGAGGTTCGGGCGTCCAAAAGCCGCGGTAGAACGGTGAATTCTCAGGCTGCGGGCGAGCGTAAGGCGGTACCCGCTCAGGAATTGGGTGCCTTGAGACCAGCTAGTGGTCTGGCAACCCCTGCTATCGAGGTTATCCGGCAAGATGATGCGGAGGACAAACAAGGTGAGTTGGTCTTTGGTGTGCTTTTTGCAAGTAATTGCTATGGAGAAAGAGTTTGGGGTGGGGGGGGCGGGAAAGGAAAACAACAACAACAAAACCAGTAGCGCCCTAGAGGCAAAAAAGAAAAGTTGTTCAAAAGAAGCTCTCAAGTTCTCTAAAACGACTTTATAGCAAGCATGTCAATGAGGGTTTAAGAGACCCAGCACCTTCACTTTGGAAGGCCTTTCTGTTTGTTTCCTGAAGTGACAGGAAAAGTTAATGAAACGGTGAAATGTGGGTGATAACAGATGACGACTTGCCCTAGGAATGGCATTACATTTGCACAAGTTTGTTGTGACTTTGAACAGAACTTCGTTCAAGCGTGCGTTCAACGAAAAGCGTAGTGAGGGGTGTTTAGAGCTTGCTGTATACTTTTTTTCCAACTTTGGAGCAAGCCTCTGGCTCCAGCTAGAACTAGGTAAAAGAAGATCTATTAAACGATCTCTTTTTTTCTCTCTCTTTCTCTCCCTTTAATTTTTAAAGCATCCTCCACCAACTATTTGTCCGACTCCAAAAGTGTAGAAAGCTTTGGTATCTGAAGTTTTATTTCTTCCCATAGGACATACATTTAGGTTTTCCAGATTGCAAAACCATTGGTGGCACAATCACAGTTTAATATTGGAGATTTCTTTCTTTTTTTTTTTTTTTTTTAAATTCTTTGTAGTTGTAGTTGGGCAGCATGCCTATATCTGTTTATTTTCACGTGGTGCTAAGGATTTAACCCAGTACCTCACACGTGCTAGGCAAGCACTCTGCCAAGGAGCTACAGCCCAGCCCCAACTCCAATACTGGAGATTTCTTATCCAAGGAAGTTTACATTTTTTTTTCCTATTATTTATTGACTGCGGATTACTTGTAAATACCTTCTATTTTAGGATATGTGTGCATGTCTGTACAGACCTAAAAAAAAAAAAAACTAAGGCTACCCCAAATTAACTTTTCTTGCTAATGTGAATACCATTGTATATCCATGAAATTCATAGCCCTCCACAGGCCTACAAGCAGTGAAGATTCCAGTTTAAAAAATTTTTTTTTAAAATGTTCCAAACAGGTTGTAACATGAAATTACAAAATGATACAATAAATTTACTAATTAGAAACTCCTTGAATTGTGAAAATTGTAGTTCTTAACAGATCACAGAATGTATTTTGAAAAAGATCATCTCTATATTGAAATGAGGCATAAATAATTTTGTGTTTTTACACATGCCAACTTTCTGCATATGGTCCAGTTTATTTTAGTAGACAAAATAAAATAGACAAAATAAGTAAAACTACTATAAGAAAAAGTGAAAGTTGGAATTCTTGAAACTGGCAGTGAGATCACCTGATGGCATTGATTTGTGGAATGTTTTTGATTCCCAGGTGTTCTGTTTGTAGCTAATTATTTTATTCTATTTTATTGCCCCAGACGACCCTCTATAGAAAGTAAGCCACCCTCTATTAGAAAGTAAGCCACATTTTGAAAGGCCACTCCAATGGCTTTTTAAATTGAAAGTTGACTGTAGTAAGGTATTGTTTAATTTATTCATTCACTGGACAAAAGACCAACAATCATTCAGTGAATAATATTTTCTACACAAAAGAATCTCATATTCAAAGGAAGGTGGATTATATGTAGTATCCAATTCTATAATACAAGGTATATTATAAAAATGATAAATGCAATAGAAGTAAAACAAGCTTTAGAAGTTGAGAGGATAGAGATGAAAGAAATGGCATCATAGTATTTTAAAGACAACTTAGTTTCTAAATATAATCAGTATTTCTTTACCAATATTTGTACTATGAGTACAACATAATAATGAAAAATTCTTTTATGTTGCTGTGGACATGAAATTTTAATACTTACTACTTTAAATGTTAAGGCAGACATACTTTGTGAATCCCATTTATAAGAAAAAATGGAATAGAGGATCAATGGAATTTGGCAGACTTGATTAGAAAAGTTGTATTTAGAGTTGAAAATTAGTACTAGAGTCTGATTTTTCAGTAGTACCATCCTTTCTTTTGTCAATACATGACAGCATTTTGACCCTCAGAGTACTAAATTTTATACATTTTAACTTTTGGATAAACATTTTTTATTTTAGAGTTTAGGTCTGCTTCTTAAGAAAACAGAAGAAACTATGAGTGTGTTATGTATCATGGTTGCAAATCACTTAATATTGGAGGAAGGGGTGTGATTTGAAGCAAATGCCTGATATGTTTTTAATAGGATTCTTTCAGGTTCTATACAAATGGCTGTAGTGCAATTTTTAATTTTCTTTAAAGAAATGTTGTTTTAAACTTTTCTTAGTTTTTTTTTTTTAGGGATTAAAAAAGAAAATATATTTGTTTACAGAGGATTAAGAAAAAATACCAAGTCCATATCATCTCACAGAAAATGAATATGGAATGATTTGAGATTGATATAGATGACATTATTGCCCTAAGTTTGAGTGAAATTAACGATTTTGTTATTTTTCCACATTATTCAAGTGAGTTAATTAGAACCTGAAATGTGAGCATAAGAAACCAATTATTGAAATTTAACATTAGTAATTAAATAGAATATTCATTTTCAAGCTAAGATTACTTTATAAAAATTTGTTATCTAAACCTAACCTATATTTAGTTATTTTTATGTAGTGTCACTATGGGGGAAAAATATATAGTAACAAAACTCATGATATTTATGCAAATACCAAACCAACTATATGAGCAAATGTTGTGCAGTATTGGTGTTATGTTAACATCTCTGAGTAACAACACTCTCCTCTATTGATTCTTAAATACTAATACATTTACATGTTGTCTGTCCTTGTGATCCTGAAATGACTCCATTAAAAATTTTTAGTATGAATAAATGTTACTAATATGTTATTAGGAAATGAATGGTCTTATCTAGTATAATTTTTGAGTGGGTAATAGGTTTTGGGAAGTTTTTCTATATTTGATTCTTTTTTTACTTTCTCTTTCTCAGAACAAAAGGGGAGTCAATGTGACTCATGCCAGAGTGGACAAGAAGAGCCATGCTCTAAATCCCATCAGCTTTCTTTGGGATCATCTTCTAAGTCTAATGGTGTCATTGGGAAAAAAAGCATCAGGTCATCTACTTCAGAACACTCAAAAAAGCATGCTAGCATCCAGTCTCCTTACTCTGGGGAGCAATCAGGAGGTGAAGACAGTCCCAGGTCCTTATCATCCTCTGATCTGGAATCAGGAAATGAGAGTGAGGGAGCTAAAGACTGCATTGCAGTGAGAGCCAGCCTTCCCATGGTGTCCTCGAGACCAAGAGATCCTCTTGATATTCTTATCAGGATTTTCCCACGTTACAGGCTCACCTGGCTAGAAAGCGTTCTACGGTTCTGCAAAGGGGATGTGGTCCAAGCCATTGAACAGATCTTAAATGGGAAAGAACGCAAGCAAGATACCAGGGATCTAGCATACTCCAGAAAACTGGAAAACACAGCCTTTTCAAGAGCTTCAAATTTTAGTCTAGCTAGAATTGGTTTTGGAACTCTAGGTAATAAATCAGCTTTCTCTCCTCTTCACACCCCATCTGCTTCTTACAGAGGTGATTCAAACCTCTACAGCTTAAATCCTAGACTAGAGATTAGTCCATTACGACTGGCATATTCTTCGCCAGGGAGAGGGCTGTCTGGTTTTGTGTCACCCTACCTAACACCTGGGTTGGTTCCAGCATTGCCTTTTCAGCCATCTTTGGATTATACTTTTTCAGGGATGATAAGGGATACTTCCTACTTTCCCAGTAAAAGCTCAATAACTGGTAGTAGGCTGTATTTTAGACCCAGTCAGGACAGTCTGTAATGTATCTATTCATTCTCCCTTTCTGGAGTATTTCTAGAATTATGAAACACACACACACAAATACATACACACAGAGATCTATTAATGTACTTAAATAAGTATATGAGTGAATCACTAGGCCTTAAAAATGCTATTTCTTTTTTCAGTCAGCAATAAAAATAGATTTTAGATTTAAAGACTTTATTCAGCATTTATTAAGTGAAAGAAGCATTTAAACATTGTCTGTGCCTTGAATAAAGCTTTTTAATGAAATAGTTTTACTTTAAAGAATGTTCTCCCTAAGTTATCAGTTGTAAAATTCCTGTTGTAAAACTACACTTGTTTATATTTTGGTGAAAAGTGGGGTTTATAGCTGTAAAAAGTTTATGGAGCAATCTAGCATAATATAAAATGAACTAAGAGGAAGAATTTTAAATTTGAGGTAATTGTTATCCTAAAATTCTCATCTTTCCTTCCTTGTTCACAGGGTAGAAAAAAATTATTCAAAGTATTTTTAAAAAATTTATTTGTAGATAAGTGATTAATCATAAAACTTTTGAGAAATTTGAATTTCTTATTTTTTGCAAAGTCTTATTTTTCACTATCATTTGTAAAAACAAATGCCAATTTTAAATTCTCTTTGAAGTTAACATTTTGAATTATAAAGGCTTACTTAATGAATCTTAGGAAGTTGGACCGCGCGCCATCTTCTGGTCACTATCACTAATTGCAACTCAATTCTGCTGAGTGAATTATGTATGTATGCATTGTTTCCTAATGGTAGAAACTAACACTTCTGTTTTTTTTGCAATAATCATTTTGGATCATGCTACATTAAAATTTTCATATTGTAAAGTGAATTTCTACTGTGAATGATTTTAATCTTTTAATTTCCTTATGTCTGTATCTGAGAAAATAATCTTTTCCATATGTTGAGATAAGAATTAGCACCCATTCTCAAAGTAAAAATAATTTTATTCAGAAAAATAAAATAACTGCTCAGACAAATATTGATTGACTCTATATATTAGGCTTAATGCATTGAGGGAGATATAAAATTTCCAAAGGGGGGAAAATTGTCATTAAAATTTAGAGGTATTCTTGTGATTTAAAAAGTATATTTCGTTCTCCATCTGGGGCATTTGAAAACTGTTTATTTCAATAGTCAGTGGAAAATCCCTGAGGAAACTGCTTACTAAACAATTTTTATGAAGTTTTCTTTACGTGTCATCATTTTTTAAAAGGACAGTAATTTTATTGTTAGGAATAAATGAAAACCCAGCTGGAATATAATAGATGATTCACTAGACATTTCTTTACATGTATGGATGTGTGTGTATGTGTAAATATACATATACTAAACTACTAAAGCCCTGTCAGTTCTATTCTCATGGAATCTTCCCTAAAGTCAATAAAATATATTTCTAAATCATATTTGCCAGCATATAAAATATTAAGTCACTAAAGTATCAAATGCTGATTTGAGATTATATATATAATGATTATGTATTAATTTTAATGGTGTGTAAGAAAAGATTCTGTAAAATTTTGTTGCATTCAATACTCACTTCTTATAAAAAAAGCTTTAGATTCTGAGTCTAAACCATAGTAATATGGCTGGCAAAAGTTAATACATCTAAGTGAAGAAATAATTTTGGATAATAGATCTCTTTGAGACAGATAAAACCAAAGAACTCTCTAAAATGGCCTGCAAGCACACAGTTTTGCATATAATTTCATGGGATTCTTGGATCTCCTAAATACTATTCAGGTTAGAATCTTTGGTGATTAATATTTCTATTACATTAATTCATTTATAGAATGCTATTTTTAAAAATGCACTAGATCCCATAAAGGATGTCAAATGTAAAATATGCTTTAAAGGAAGTTATACTATATAGTAGACATCTGGATTAAAAATTCAATAATTCTAGAGTTGCTGAATTCTTCATGTGGTTTTCATTGGAGAAATGGAATTGCTTTTGAATGAAGAAGAACATTTATTTACTAGTATTCAGAATTTTAAGAACAATTTATGATCTTAACTTTTCAGTTAGTCTACATAGATAATTTTATAAAATAGGTCTTTTGTTCAACCAGTAAATAGGATGTAAGGAAGTGAGGCTCAGCAGTGGTAGTATCCAGACCCAAGATTAGAGGTACTTTTGCAATTTCAGACTCAGGTCTGAGGGAGGATTTGTGTCTGTTTTGTTTCTTGATAGCTTTTGTGTGGTGTCCAGTACCTAAGTGCTCAATAATAGTTCTTCACTAACTCAATTAAACAACAGTTTAAAGAAGTAGCATAGGAATTCATTTATTCAACACCTCATCATTAACACTACTTTGTGTCATACACTAAGCTAGATAGATGCAAAGGATACTTGCATGAAAACACAGGCTTAGCCTCAAGATGCTCACTGTCTATGTTATCACGTGTGCAGAAAAGCAACCAACCAATGGCAGCATTTGACAACATTGGTTAATTATCTGTCCAATAGCAGAATGGCTATCTTATAGTGCACCATCTTTGTGTGTGTGTGTGGGGCGGGTGGTGCTGGGGATTAGAACCCAATGCCTCATGCATACAAGGCAAGCACTCTATACCAACTGAGCTGTATCTACAGGCCCTGAATGCATCCTCTTATTTAAAATACCACGTAGAGAAAGCCCATCAGAGACGTGGTTGGTGGAGTCTTTCTTTACTGCTTCAATATTGGGACAGAATCATCTATAAGCTGATCAGAAAAAGTAAATACTGGTTGGATTCATGAATACATTTCAAGTCTAAGACAATAAAAATTCTAAGAAAATGAAAACACTAGACCATATTTGTCAATAATTTGCTCACTAGAACTTTTTCCTGGGTGAAAACCTCCCTTTGGTAAGAGGTTAAAAAAAAAGACAAAACAGTGTATGATTTCTAAGCAATAAGACAAGTAGAGGTTAGCATAAGACATGGAGCTGAGGAGGAGGGCTCACAAAGGACACAAATCCAGAGAGATGTGTTAGTAAAATGTATATGAGGTATACACCAGTATTTCTTCCTAGAGGGAGCACTAACTTTGCAGATGAGCTCTAGGATAGACTCAGCAGGATGACTTGGGCAGGTAACTTTCACTCTCTGGGCATTTGTCAATTCTCAATAAAATAAGGATATAAATATCTAACTTGCAAGATTCTCAGAGATAAAAGATAGCTTGAATAAACTGCAAAGTACACTAATGCTTATATATTGGGTGCTAAATAAATAACTGTTGCTGTTATTAGTTTGTATTACATTTTCTTTGCCCCCTGGTGGCAGTCTCTTAACAAGGAGTACTCTGTAATTTCATTTAATCCACTTGGTGGATGTGGAACCCATAGAACAGTTATTACTAGGGGAACAGGCTTCATCCAGTCCAGATTTCCTGTTTGATTGTTACTTTCATAGGTTAGCCACAATTTCATAATGTATTATTGTGCTGGGTTTCTGTTTTTGCAACTAAAAGGCTCAGGAGTCACTCCAGTTAAACTGGGCTAACTGGGCTGCACAAAATAACCACACAAGAGACACAAATACCTTTTTCTTTGGGGTCGCTGTGACGGCTCCTCTGACCTTAAGGGTCCGCAGAAAGAGAGAGAGTGAGAGCATGGGCTGACCCCTTTTTGAGGGAAGCTATTCAAATGAAGCAAGGGGTCAGGTTTCAGGGGGCTGAGTATCTTCATAATGTCCACTTTCAGCAGGTTGACTGACACCTGGGTAGGCCACACCCAAGGGCACAGTAAGAAAAGGGGACACACACAAGGCACTTCCACGGAAGATTCTATCCTAAACAGGGCAAGGGGTTATATTACAAAAGAACAGGTGAGCGTAGCTTCACCCATGGGGCTGTAGCAAGACACACTCATGAACGAGACACCGCCCACATTTCTGTGACTGAGCACCTCAGCACCCAGCCAGGGAGTGTGACTCAGTCACGTGTAAGATTGGTCTCCCACATTATTGTATATGTGTTTTGGATTCTTTTTAAAGATTGTGAAGAAAATGAACAGCAAAACCACGGTTTTGTGTTCATGTTACCTTGATCAGTCAAGAAAACAGTCCCTATAAGTATATGTGGAAATAAGGGAGTTAATAGAAATTTGATCTAACACAGAGGAGATCTGGGAAACAAAAGGGAAAATGCAGATCTGAGAGTAACTCATCTGCCTAAAGCACCATGTGAGTGAACAAGTGGGCACTTTCAGGAAATTTGTGAAGTCCAGCCTGACCCATCACTTACAGTTCCCAGATGCATAGTGAATGAAATCTTTGGGGGATCTCAGGCCTCTGAATAGTTATGGGCTCTGTGGGTCTGCGGGAGGCCCCTGGTGCATGGGTCAGTGAGGCAGGAGGAAAGCTGGTGTGGAGTAAACACTGGATGTCGGTCCTTGATGACTTTGGTTTTACCTCTACTTGACAAATTTCACAATTCTTTCCTGGGCCAACTTTCAGTCTGAACCATACAGGGAAGGGAATTCTGGGAAATGTAGTCCCCAGTTTTAATTAAACACATACTGCACAATCCAGTCCAGTTCTTGTCAATATGGCTTTCATACGCATATATTAACCACATTCCCTTACAAATAAGGGCCAAAACAAAGTTATTCTTTTACCAAAAATTGAAACAACTCCTCTCTAATGAAAACATGCATACTTTCTCTCCAAAATAGGACACACACAGTGACCCACCCATCTTGGGGGAGGGCTTAGTCCTCTTTCAGCTAGTTAAATCCACCTTTGACTATCCTATAACTTTAATCCTGAGATAGAGTGAACCACTACTAGTAAATCTTGTTAGAGTAGGGAGTTGGGAACGGAGGAAATTGCTAAATGCAGATGGTCCCTGATTACCACAGTTCTACTTACGACTTACCTACTTTACGATGGTGCAAAAGTGATAAACATTCAGGAGAAGCCATAGCATAAATTTTGATCTTTTCTCAGACTAGTGATATGTGGTATAATACTCTCTTGACATGCTGGGGAGCCTCAGCTCCCAGTCAACCATAAAATCATGGGGGGTAAGCAACCAATATTCTGCAGTGTACATTTTTGCTGAGTTAGGATGTTTGGTAGGTTAGATGTTGTTAAATGCATTTTTGATATTACGATATTTTCACTTTACAAAGGATTTTTTTGGGATGTGATCTCATCATACGTCAAGGAACTTCTGTACATGTACACAAGCACACACACACAGAGATATACTTTAAAGCAAGGAAAAAATAAATGTATCTATCTACTAGAGCTCTCATGCTTCATATGGGACTATCACTGGTCATAGGATCACAGATGGTATCTATAACTTTCCTTTTCTACTGTTTCATATCTTTCTTATTCCAAGAAAATGTCTCCATTAATTGTGGTTATTACTATGGTGGGTGACCCGGGTCCTCATTCCTGAAGAGTGTGGCCCATTAGCAGTCCTGCTTCTGTGAGGTTGTTTCGGCCTTCCATTAACTTTTACTACAAATATTGGAAGACTAGGTGACACTCCAGAGGATGTCCTGCATACTGGAAATACGACCATCTGCCTCTTTCCTGCTATTTCACTGGCACAGGGTGCCTAGCATAGACAATAGTAATCTCAGGTTCCAGTACACTGTTGCCTTCTCTTATGGTATCATTTCTCATTTGGGAAGTAAGACCTGTGAACCAAAAAAGCCAAAAGTTGTTGTAGGGAACAGAAACAAAAGAATTAGTGGTAAGTTATCAGATTAATGAGAGAGATGCCATTGTTATACCTATCCTGTGTTTCCCCGAGTCCTGGGTATAGGAGCCACTCCATAGTTCCAACCAATTCTGAGCATATCTTACACCAGGAAGACATTATTCCAG